GGGGGGGGGGGGGGGGGGGGGGTCGAAATTTTGCATTTCCTGACTTGGGGTTTTTGAGTCCATGTGGAGTATGCTAACATGTCTAACGGGGGAATGTAGACATTTATAAAAATAGTGTACCATTGTCTCATAGACTATACATACCTTGCTAAAGATATTTGAATCTAATTCAACTTGAACCCACCCACCTACCTCCATGAACTTTATAAAGGGCAGTGTTAAATGAGACCTTTCAGCTTCAGTTGTTGTCACGAGGGATCATGACCATTCTTTTCTTTCTGCCAACCATGCTGAAGAATTTAATCAGACAGTTTAAATTGCCTACCATTCCTACACATCCAATCAAATCAAGATAACTGTCATCGCGCATAACAGTGTTGCCTTGCCAGTTGCCACCCTCTGCCTCTCTGTGGCAATAGTGCATCATTCCTAATCCCCCTCCCAATTGGTGATTATATTCATAATTGGGTTTAATACGAGTGTTTTGTTGGAAATAAAAGAATTTAGTGAGTATTATTGTGTCTTGTGCCTTTTTTTTCTCAATGGGATTTGGTATTAGTTGAATGGTTTATAGATATTTTGATTCAATGGTGGTACATTATTGGCTATAGGCGGCGGACCATACGTTTAAATCTTTTGATCACAGTGGGCCTTGAAAATGCTTTGACTTGATCAATATAAATCTATATCTATTTATACCCTATACTATTAATAAAAATATTTTATCATGGAAAACTTTTGATTTACTATTTTGTCTTTATAAAGACTAACATTTCATTTTAAAAATATTTAAATATGCAGATTATCATTATATTCTTCTATACTCATATCATGTAAATCTCTATCTTTACAAAACTTTTAGATGGTCATGTTATTCTTAACAGGATATATAAAAATATTATTCTTTTTTTTTTCACCCCGATATTAATGCACATTGACACCTTTATTGATACAATATTTATCTCTGGTGTCAAAAAATCGATATATATAATTAAATTTTTATGTATTTTATCAAATATTTTAACAAAAACTATGCACGCGTGGTATTGCTAGTAAAGAAAATATATTTGTTTTTCTAGTTGATTTAATTGCAATGAACTGTACACAAACAAACATCCACTGATTCCCCCAAGCATAATGAATTCCACAGGATATATGCTAATTCCCCAATATAGATCTGTTTCCATACGTCATTATATATTATTAGTAATGGTCCCGTGGTTGAAGGCATTTTATAATACCAAAAAAATCAAATATTGATTGTGTAACATTTATATTGTAAATAAGAAGAAATAGAGAAGTAAGGGCAAGAGAAGAGAGAGGTAAGTATGAATTAATGAGATTGTTTGACATTCAGAAGTGTATTAGTTGAATTGTCTGATATTAAAGGTCATGTAGAGAAAATGAAGTCTTTAAGCTAAGAAAAAAAAATTAAAATAAATTTTATATAATTAGATCAAAAATTAGAGAAATGTGAAGATTATTGTATTTTTATAAATTAAAAATTCAAGTTACTAGCAAAAATATTAGGTATACTAACAATAACTTCATATCTAAAGACAGTCTATAATATCAAACATGAAATATTGATTTTGTAACATTTAGATTTGAAATAATAAATAATTTTTTTATTTGATTATGTAATTTAAAATATTAAAATGAATGGAGAGAAAATAATATATATGTAAGTGGATAAAGAAGAGATAGATAGATAGGTACTTTGAGAAGAAAAAAGAAGACATAGGTTAATCGGATTAGTTGATATTGGATATAGTGTGTTAGTTAAGAGTAATCTAACAATGAGGAGGTTTTTAGAGAAGATAATATTTTTAAACAAGAAAAAGAATGGGTATGAATATTATATTATTTAATCAACTAATGAAATACTCCATTTGGGTCTTATAATGATAAAAAAAAAAAAAATACATTATCAGTGCTGTTCATATTAGTTATTATAGTAGTAGTTCCTAAAACTGAATACTAATAGAAACTATTGACAAGTAATTAATGGAATCAATCACCCCATCGATTTTCCACAGTTATAACTATAACATTCTGCGACTCCTCCGAGGCATGTGAATGCATGTCAAATGGAAAGAAATGGAAATGAAAATGGAATCTTCTTGTTCAACTATTAGGATCCTATTCTAGTCCAGTTTTTTACTTAGATAGATAGATAGATAGATAGATTGATTGATTGATTGTTGTCATTTTATTATAACATAACATCGAGTTTCGAAAGCCTTATATATTTTAATCCAATTTGTGTTGATTTTTTTTTTTTTTATAATCAATCTTGTAATAATCTATTAGTTACTGCAAACATCCAATTTGAATATTTGGTCTGATCTAAATAATATATAATTAGAAATAATGTAAATAAATTACACCTAAATTTAAGTTTAATTTAATAAAATAATCACATATATTTATATAGAGATTAAAATTAAAATTTGAATTTGATATTCGATTAAGATTAAAATCCATATCAAACTAATTAGATTTAGATAAGGCTGTTAATCAAACTGAGCTACTCAAGTTTGGCTTAAATTCAGCTCAGATTTGACTCGTTTAGGTTCAGTTCGTTTTCTAAACGAGCTCAATCTTGAACAAATTTTTAAGCTTGTTTAGAAAATAAACTCGACAAGTTCGACTCTTTTATGTACAAATACTCGGGTTCAACTCGAGTTCGGCTTATTTAGGCTCGACTCGTTTAACTTGAATAATTTTTAAAACTCGATTGAGAAACAAGTTTTTCAAGCTCGACTCGGGCTCGTTCACCTAACAACCCTAAATTTAGATTCAATAAAATTTAAGAGAATATTTTTAACGCTCACTAGACACCATGTTATGTGGATCACCCATAAAATATTGTAGCCAGTGAATTTATCAAAATTTTTATTGAAAAAATTAATGTGTGTGTGTGAGAGAGAGAGAGATAAATAGCATCTTGTGCCCTATAAGCAGAATATTTTTTCAATCTTACTAATTTTTCTGTTCCAAGTAAGTTAGTTAGTACTATTTACCAAACAGGAAAAAAAGTTAGTACCAAGTTGTAGTAAATAAGTAGTAGAAACCGGTAACAACTAAAACAACAAACGGTCAATATTTTCAAAAAAGAAAGCCTATACAACTCATATTACATCTGCGCTAAAGGCAATTCCCTGTTTTCCAGAAAGAAACAGAACGCAGACAGAGAGAGAGAGAAAAAAGAGTGCCCACAAATTGGCAGCTGTCACCAGCCCATTTCTCTCCCAAGTACTCTCTCTTTCTTCCTATTTATAAGCCCCCACATTTCACTCTTTCATCACCACCATTACCACCACCTACCTGTTTATCTCCTCCTCCTCCTACTACACTCAAAATAATGTCCCTAATTCTCCTACTGTCGTTCCTCTTCTTCTTCGGGCATTATGGTTCTGCTTCCCCAACAGTTCAAACCCTTGACATTAAACCACAATACTTCAATCCCAAGCTCCCACCCAAAAGTCTCTCCTCCTCCAAGAAATTTGAGGGCTCATCAGACCTCGTAAACCTTCGCTACCACATGGGTCCAGTCCTCTCCTCGCCGATCAACATATACCTCATATGGTACGGCAAGTGGTCCCCATCCCAACAACTCCTCATCAAGGATTTCCTCCTCTCCATCTCCACCGTCAACCACCGCGCCGCCCCTTCCCCCTCCGTCGCCGAGTGGTGGAGCACCGTCTCTCTTTACACGGACCAGACTGGCGCAAACATCTCCCGCTCCGTTCTCATCGCCAGCGAGTACTCCGATCGCCTTTATTCCCATGGCACTCACCTCACCCGCCTCTCCATTCAAGAGGTCATTGCCACAGCCGTCCGATCCAAACCCTTTTCCGTTGATCACAAAAACGGGATCTATCTCGTATTAACCTCCGTGGACGTGACCGTACAGGATTTCTGCCGAGCGGTGTGTGGGTTCCACTACTTCACCTTCCCATCTAAGGTAGGGTACACTCTCCCCTACGCATGGGTCGGAAATTCGGGCAAACAGTGCCCCGAAGTATGTGCCTACCCGTTTGCCGTACCGGGCTACATGGGCGGCGGCGGCCCCGGAGCTCTGTCACCGCCGAATGCGGACGTGGGTGTTGATGGAATGATTAGCGTGATCGGTCATGAGCTCGCTGAGCTGGCGTCAAATCCACTTGTAAACGCGTGGTATGCGGGTGAGGACCCGACGGCACCGGCGGAGATAGGGGATCTGTGTGAGGGATTGTACGGTAGTGGGGGTGGGGGAGGGTACATTGGACAGGTGATGAGGGACAGAGAAGGCAGGACTTACAATGTGAATGGAAGGAGGGGAAGGAAGTTTTTGGTACAGTGGATATGGAGCCCTGTGTTGAAGGCTTGTGCCGGTCCAAATGCTTTGGACTAATAATAATAATAAGCCCTCCCTCTCCCTCTCCCTCTCGTTTTCCTCCCCTTTCTCCCTCCCCTCCACAAGAAGACTGAAATGTACACAAACAAATTCTTCTTTCATTTGTTTTTGCTTTAGGATACTCTCTCTATTCGATGATAGCTGGAGATTTCCTAGTGGGAAGATGGAGGAATGAGGAAAGAAGTGGGACGCAAGGAGGATTGGTGTTTTTTTTTTTTTTAGTGTTCATTCTATATATTATTTTGATTTTTGTTGATTAAATTAGATGTATAAAGAATGAAACTTTGGGGATGATGATTGATATAGAGTGTTTGTTGTTAGACTTTCTAGTGGTTGTATAATAGCAATTATTCAGACCAAAAAAGAACAAAGTACGGCATTGAATTAAAGCATATATTATTTTCTAATGTTTACCAGCACAAGGATTGTATAAAATTGGTATTTGACAGAGAAGAATGTTATATGAAGTTAAAAAATTAAATTTAAAATGTGTATTTAATAATTATAATCAATTAATTTTACTGTAAGATCTTTTATATTTATTGAGGTCTATTACTTATTTAATGAATAATATAATTTTAAAGTATATTTTAAAGTTAATATTTTAAGTCTAAATATAGAGTAGTTTAATTTTGAATCACTGGAAGTTTGGCTTCAAACCCAATGAAAATGAAATGAATAGACAGGGGAAACGAATAGACAGACTTATAAGTGAGGGAGTTGTACCCATCTACTTTATACTTGGGAGTTCAATTCAATGACAAATGCGTTTTTGAGAAGTGTACTGGATGAGTCAACAAGTAAACTCATATGCTTAAAAAATAAGGGCAATTAATTAGTCAAGGGGGGCGGTATTATTAAGTGCAAAAATCTGAATGAATGGTTTGTGTTGTATTATATTGTATGCAATGACATGATTTTTTGATGGAATGAAAGAAAGATAGAGCATCTACTTGTCAAAGGAGTAGTGATTGTACATGTGAAGCTATAAGAACTATTGTGGGTGTAAGATAGATTGACCCAATAAACTAATTTAAAGTTGACCTCAACATAATGGAACCAATTTTCGTCTTTTGAAAAAGACCCGAAATTTATTATTTCCAAGTTTTGAGTTTGATGAGATTCCCCACTGAGGGGTTATGTTGAGTTTGGACCCCCCATTACTAAAAGTCTAACCCGGTTAGATGATTGCTTTAACAAATTGAAAATTTGAAACCCTCTCACAATAATAATATCACCAACAAAATACTATCAAAAAGATAATAATAATGATGATGATGATAATAATACCTATGGTGCTTTTTGTACTCTTCCTTGGCTTTTCGGGAAAAAAGTGCGAGGTTTATGAATCGGAAGGAGAACATACACAACATGAGGGAAAGAAAATGCTTGTCCTTTTGCTGGTGGGAGTGGGTGACAGTAGAGAATTGGTTGGGCAGTGGCCACCCCGCCCTTTAATTACACATTTGGTGATCAACAGCCAATAGTGGAACCCACCCACCCCTCGGGATGCATAATGCATGGGTTAATCATCATCATCATGTCTTCCCTTCCCCCCAGTGCTTTAGCCCAATTGTCTCAAAATATCACTATCCGATATCCCTACTAGTTTGGACTATTTTTCCCCACCGTCAAAGTAATTCTCAATTCACATTTCTCCTTCAGTCAAATATTTTATCACTACTATCTAAACTCCTATTCTAACAGTAAATCGTATCTATTTAAAGTTGTTTCCAACTCTAATGCATTTATTAAACAAGTTTCAATTCATAAGAATAACACGATTTGTTCTGTGACTTTAGTGGTACTGTAATAATGAATTATCCTTTTAAATTAGTAATTATGATTCAAACTGAATATTCTAGAGCGATGAACCCCATATCCCTCCCTTTTTTTCGGTTCAAAATATATATATATATATATATGTTAAGTTAATTATATCACAAAACTGAGTGAATTTTTCCCCATGTCTAGTATTTTAGGATTATAATTCTCCTTAACAAGGTTGTACTTTATTATGACTACTCTTGTCATCAAAAAACCACTAAACGGCAAGTTAATGAAGACTCAATCCATTGAAGAAAATCATACTTGAATTATACGAGTTCAAAATCCAAACATTAATTTACTTTTGTACTTTTTTTGTGCTTTGTGTCCAGATTTTGATCATCACTCACCAAAAGAACATGAACAGATTAAGATTAGGTTTTACCCTAGTCTGTATTGTACACATTTTTCCCTCCCACTTGATCGTATCAAATACTCATGGATCTGGAAACACGAAACTAGTCATAAAAATGAGTTGTATTAGCCGGAAACGTATGCATGCCTGCATGTAGCTTCTTAGCTTTCATGGTGTAATATGATAGGCGATTTGTGCTCACCACACTAATAGTATTATAAACTGAGAATTAGTGAGCATAGCAAAACACTAGTTAAGTAAAAGAAGACCGACCTCCCTCGCGCGGGGGCGGGACCATCATTCATTTCAGCATTAAGGTATGTATCATGGATCGATCGATCAGTATCACGCCTGACCTGAATGAATACGAAACAAAACATCACTCACTACAACACAAGGAATAGCTTGTTCTGTGGTCCCTCCCCCCGACTGGCCCCACCCAACCCAACCACTGAGTTGGAGAAGCACATGCACTGTTAACGACGGCAACCACACCAGTATCACTACCAGCACCTGCCTGGAAAGACAAGGACATCAACAAACACCATCATCTCATCTTCATCTATTACCTGATCAATCTGCCTCCTACAACTCAATTGGGAGGTTGACAATACAACATGGTGGGTGTCTTAACCTTTAGTTTAATGGGAGTAATCAAATAATTTTTTTTTAATTTTTTAAATCAATCGACAAAATTACAAATGATCGATAATGACTACAAAGGATAAATATGCATCCACCAAAATTTTTCTAATTTTGAATAACAAATGATCAATGTTGTGCATGATAATCTTTGCTTAATTAGTATAAATGAAGAATTTATTTTTTTTTTGACCGGTAAATTTTTTTTTTGGGGGGGAGTATAAATATTTATGAAGTTCAAATAGCCCAAAGTGAATCCGGGAGGGGGATGGTGACCGAGATTAAGTTAGTAAGGTAGTGAGGAGGTTTGCCTCGTAAATCGTGGGATTTGTTTAATTAGAACACGAAAACATGAGAAAGGGCAGGGCAGTCGAAAGATTCGCATTTCAAATAGTAGATCTACCAACTAATAACACATCGAAAGCACCGAAATGGTCATGTGTCTTTATACCCATTACCACAACGTAAACTGTGAACCGACACTTCACTTTTGATTATCTTCTTGTGTATAAAAATTGTTGGACGGTATCTGGGAAACAACTCCAACACTGTTGGTTTTGCATAATGATTACTTAACACAAATAATAGTCCTTGAAAAATAAAAATTTAAATATAAAAAAATAATAAAAATATGACACAAAAATATAATTTGATTTGATATCGCATATCCACCTTAGTACACCATATTTACATCCACATACCAAGAATCTACATTAATATATTATTAAAAACAGTTCATCTGATAACTAATTATATAATACACACTCCTTTTTATTGGGATAAAATATTATAACTCAAACTTATTCATATACAAATTGATTTTTATGTTTCTTATTACATATCTAATATATTTATTCATAATATATTAAAAATCTTTCAATTTTTTTGGGTTAATCTTAAATTGCATCTCGAAAAATTGTTCGAATCTCAATTTGCACCCTTAAAAATCAAAAATTTTAATTTTTACCCTCAAAAAATATAAATTTGTATCAATGCGCACCTCAAGCTAACGACCATCAGTTTCTCATTTAAAACTAAATAAATAAATTGTATCTAGACCCCCTCATTCTCACTTTTGAAATATTACACCTACATCCTTTGAAAATCTAATTAAACATTCAAATAATTCTGTTAAAGTGATATATTTCATTAAATATAAAAAATATTATATAAATATCTATATTACTGTGCGTGCTGGATCTTGCACAATATAAAAACGAGAACAGATCTTCCCCTTGGTGAACTCGAGTGAGTCAATTGAGTGGTCAACCACGCTGCTTGGAACAGCCTGTGAGATCCGGTGGTAACCTGGAACAGTAATGGGAGACCCTCGCGGATCAAAGGAACGATCCAGTAAGGCTGAAGAAAGGTTCCTAGAACAAAGAAGAACAAGTTAGAAGGGCGCCGGAGTGTTCTCCGGCGTATCCCCTCCGACGATCAAGTCAGTTTTTGAGAGAGAAGAAGAAGAAAACACTGAGTATAATTTGTAACAAAGGTTTCACCTGCCTTTTCTTGCCTTTAGTGAGGAGTATTTATACCTCAAATATTTATGATTGTTGTCAGTGTGGTCAGTAGGTGATCATTAGATATAGGCAACGTGCGCACTGATTCCTATGAGGAATGTCTTCTCTTTTAATTGCTCGGGACCCCGAGCAATTAAGACTGTGTCATCGGCCTGCCGACGGTTCAATGAGCTCCTCTCGGGGAGGATGCAATAAATGCCCAGCCTTAGAGACATTTATTGTTTTTCACTTCCGAGCCTTACCGCATTGAATGCAATCTCATCAAAAGAATGGTGTAATTAAATACTTGTTTTCCCAAGTCGCGTGTCAGCAAGGTCATGCGGTCTTTCTGTCTCTGAAGTGACACAATATGCCACGCGTCCATTCCTCATTGGCTGTGGCCCCTGCCTTCTGACACCAATTGTGTAAGACGAGGTCATGATAGCTAACCTAGCCTAGCCTAGGCTAGTGACCAGTGCATCAATAGTCTCTGCTGGAGCAGAGAACGACATCCTAGACGAGGGGGGTACATCTCGGTACCGAGAAAGAGGAACATCTCGGAGCTGAGAGGGAGAGCCTAGCGACCGATGTACCATATCAGACCGAGGGTACGTGTCGGTATATAAAAACATACTGGATGTCACTCGATCCCCATGATCAGCACCTCGAGGGAAGAGGGGACTTGTGACCCGATGGGTACGTGATCTATGTAACAAGGATTAATGACATCGAGGACACGTGTCTTCATCTCGAAGTATTTCAAAAATATCCCATCAACTGCCCCCAGCCTTCGATCTTCTGACACTGAGGACACGCGTCGTAAGGAGACGAAGGGTTTTACAACAACCCCAACTGCTTCATCATTGCTTATAGCCGTTTTTCCCTGCTTAGGACGTCGTGCGCATTAAATGCGCCGTTTCGTGCTTCGCGCCCAATGATGGGATAGGTGCTATATATAAAGGGGCTTCCTCTCTTCTTTTCTCATTTCATCGTTCTGAACTTTTCTTCACAGAGCCCTTGCCGGAGACTTC